CTTTGTTCACTTTCACGTAAAGAACTCAACGACCTCAAAATGCGCAATAAATTTTAGCTGCCTGCACTTTGAGCAAAAACGAAAAAAATAGAAGCACTGCTTCCAGTTCTTGTTTGGCTAATTAAAAAATGTTGGCTGCCGCAGGAAAAAAACAAAGTCAGAAATCAAAAGAACATTTAGCAATGGGCAGAAACAAATGTTAATGAGTGCAGTCACTTTGAATGATTGCAAAAAGCCTGAGGGAAAGCGGAGAGGTTTTGGTTTCGTTTTGGTTTTGCCTTTTTAAAAATAGAGAAATGACGACAATGAAGGCGGGCGGCAAGTACTCAACCTCGAGCTAACAAGATCAAGGCTCTCTCCCAACAATAACCACAAATCGTACATATATATATATATATAAATATTCCCTCGTATATATAGTATTAATGGGACCAAGTGTATGGCTTTATCAGGTGTATTGGACGAGCAGGCGGCTTGCGATAAGCGTCACGTCTTAATCACATGAATGGATATATTATTCACTTCCAGACCCTACCCTCTCTTCCCCTGGACAAACTCAAACCTCGCCATATCGTGTCGGACATGTCCGTCTAGGTGTGCTTATTTGGGTGCAGTCGTCTGATAGTCTCAAACAAAGAAAAGCTCGCTGCAGTTCAGGGAAATCGCCAACGTCAGGGTCCCGTGAGAAAGTGCAATTATTCCTTATCATCAGCCAAGCAAAAACATATAAAAGTCTAGGTCTACAGATTTGTTTTATATAAAAATGCGTCAAGGGTGTTGAGTAATTGAAATAAAAGGTAACAAAGATAGAAGAGATTTTTAATTTGATTTTTAAAATATATTTTAGCATATTTAATTTAAGTTATTAGAGGTAGAATCGATAGAAGATACTTTCGATTAAATTTAAAAATATATTTAAGCATTTTTTATTCATTAATTAAGTAAAATCCTCAAGAAAATAGATAGAAACAACTTTTAATTAAATTTAAAAAATATATTTATCATTTTATATTCTTTACTTAAGTGAAATCATCATGAAACTATTTTTAATTGAAGTTCTTATAGGTGGATAAATTAAAAAGACTTTGAATTAAATTTTAAAAATATTTTGTTAACATTTTATACCCCTTAATTAAGTAAAATCATCATGAAACTATTTTTTATAAACTCCAAATTCCCTAAAAAACTTCACATAATACCTTTTTAAACCCCCAGTCATCATCATTTCTGTCTAAAAAAAAACACCAACAAATCACAACCTAATTAAGCACCCTGCTTAAGCAAACATTTCGCAAACATTTTCTCAGCCAGGGAAAATCCCTAAAAGTCAACGCTTTAAGTTGGCACCTTTGGCTAATTACAAAGAAAATTACAATTTAATTAACCGCATAAATTGAAATAATTTCCTTCTAAAAAGAAGTCAACGTTTGCTGCTAAAATAATGATTTGCAACAAAAAAAAAAAGCCATAAAAGTTAATGTGGAAAAAGCGGTGGTGGAAATGCCACGTGGCAAGCGAAATAAAACCAAATTAATTGCACGCTTCGTGCTAAAATTCTTTCATTCAAGCAGCGGACCTCGACTCGAAAAGGGAACATTAAATGCAGTCGACTGACCAGCCTCGAATACACGCCATATAATTATACGAACCTCCATATACATTTAATGCATATGTATATACATGTTTGCCGTTATACTATATCGCATTAAAAGGAAAAAAATAAAATAAAAAGAAAAGCCTTGCATGACATGAAGGCATTTCCAATGCAATATTTCTAATGAAACGCCGTCCCTCTTAACCAAATATGTATTCAGGCCAAGTCCTTGCGGCTCATTTAACAACTCTTTCCACTTAGTCGGTATCATTTTTTTTGTTGTTAATTATTTTCTGTGTACTTGGCAGAAAAAGAATGAAATGCCTGATGAGGTCAACGACTACATTAACAGGCTCGTGTTTGCACATACTTTATATATACATAAAGTAGTGTATATATATTCAAATTAAATTGTGCATGTCTGGCTCATGACTAAAGCTCATTTCAGAGGTCCTCAGAGGACATTAAATTGCTTCGGGAGGCGAAAAGCTGTTGAGTGTGTGTGCGGATTACTAGAGAGCTGGAGCTGGAGCTGGGGCTATCACTCTGACATCTTCATTGTCAAGTGGGCACTTGGCTTTGTCTGCACCACACTGCGTATGTGTGATGTGCTCTGACTGCCTTCGAGGAATCCCAGCTAAAATGTTTTATTTGTTCACTTAATTGGTTTGGATTTGCTTGCCTTTTTTCTTCTTCCACACAATTTGCATTTCTATATAAATATTTTATGGTCATGACTTGGCGTTTATTTATCAAAAGTGTTTACTTAAAGTTTTTTGTTTTTGCTGTGTGATTTTTGGGTTTTTATCAGCAAAAGTCAATAACTGATTGTGGCTATAGAAGAGAGAGAGAGAGAGAGAGAGAGAGAGAGAGAGACAAAGGGAAAATGAAAAAGAACAAATAAATTTAGTTCTTATAAATAGACTATGGACTAGAATGTTATATTTTGTTTACGTGTCAGCTGGAACGTTGCTGCTATTTCAATCCCCCTCGTAAGCACTCTCAATTAATTTGCTTTTTTTTTCGGGGTAAACAAAGTCGTACGATGGATGGATGCGTCAGCACACACAATTTGGCTAATCACACTCCCAAAGTACACCTTGATAATGACAATTATGAAAGTAACACCGGGTGGGTGGTTCTCTGTCCGTCTGTGTGTGTCACGCAACTCAGGTGAAAAATCCCCACCTACGCACAGGCAAGTTAATACCCCAAGAAATGCCGACACTTTGATGCATTATATACCCTCTGGTGAAAGCGAATGCGGAGAGAGAAAACACTTTGATTCACCCGAGAGGGAATATCTGTATCTGTATCTCACGGGTAGAAAAGTATATATATGCCGAGTGTGTTCTATGGGTAAACAGCGAAATATAAAGGCGGAAAATCACCAAAACAGAAACAAATATTGATTGGTAAACACAAAGCGAAATAAGTGCAATTATGGTGACCACACACTACACACACTGACAGAGTCAATTAAATGGAAATGCTGATAAAACAAATACTATGATCACAAATGGGCTTCTATCGATATTCTCTGCTCTGAATTTATCAGCTTAAATACTAAGGGAAATGAGGTCATAATTAGGAGAACCAAACAATAGACAATATATAGCTTTAAATCAATCAGTAACTTGTTTATATTATAGTTACATAAGCCTGGGTTATTTTCCTATTAAACATAAATAACATGAAATATATTTATGGCCTTAAAAAATGTAAGAAACTCATAAATAAAAGCAAAATAATATTTATATAATATCCGAAATTGCCTTTAAAAAAATCAAATTCTAAATATAAACCAAATCTGTGAATCAGAAATACATTTCTATGATATTTATGTGGGCACACACATTTTTCGTAATCTACAAATAGTTTGTTAAACCTCCAAAAGTCATTCAAAAATTGTCTATTAATTGCCAGCCAGCAATCTTTTTTCGATCTACGATCTGGTTAATTTTAGTTTTTTGGCTTTCCACATTCCCTGCTTCCACCTAATTCTGTCCATCATTATTGTTTTGCTTAAATAGTCTCGCCCTGCCAGCCCCTCATCCTTATCCACAGAAAACTAAGAAAAAAAACCTCTTAGAGTCAAGTGTTTTCCGTCTGATGCCTTCTGTCTTTTGTTAATTTTTTCCTGCTGCTCGTCGAAGCATTTTGTTTGATGGATTTCTAAGTGCGTAAATCGCTGTGATTTTTTTGGTTCTTAGCAGAGAAAAAAATCCACAAAAAAAAGCTAGCAAGAACAACATGGTCTCTGGGAAATGTTAAAATGATTAATTAGCCTTTCTTGGTGGCTTTTCTTTGTTTCAATATTTTTTGTGTGCCGTGTGTGTGTGTTCTCTAAGTGAAGGGGAAAATCCTCTTGAGCTCAAGTGACTGACTCAGCGCCTCAATAATTCATTTAAAAAAAAAAAGAGATTTCACAGAAAATATATGTTTCACTAGCCGAGTGTGGAAAGAGTTGGCCAGACAGCGCGTGCCACTTTTCACGTATCTATCAGATACAATTTGCTGCTCTCCCTCTTTGTATCTCTGGCCCTGTGTCAAGGTTTATTTACTTTGAATTTGCTCTATAAATATTTGATAATTGGGTCCTTGGCCTGCCTGTGACTGGCGCTGGTGCCTGTGCCAATGCCATTTGCCATTGAGCACACACAATTAGAGTAACAAGTTGACATTCGATGGAGTGGCCTCACGGAAGAAGCAGTAATAGCGTAAATACGCATACGCCGCATGGGTTCGCTCGGGTTGATGGTGGGCGTAGAGCAGGACTTGTTGCGCCTTAGCAAAGGCCTTTCGCCTGACGTCAGCAAATAAGAGTCAATCGAGCTATTTCGCTGGCCCAGCCCTGTATTGATTTTTCAATTCCCCAATGCAGTCGAATCGAAAAGGATTGCCGCCGTGGCACTTTCACAAAAACAGAGAAAGAGAGAGGTTTAAACTCCTAACTAATGCGACTGACAGATTTCTTGACTCAATGGGGTGCTACATTAATCACTAGAGCTTTTAAAACCTCTTAAGAAACTGTCGAAAAGTATGCTACAATATTGTATTTTTTATCTTTATCGTTTATTTAATTTTAAAATTTTCAACAATTGTTTTGGGCAGGATTATAAAATAACAAAAAAACCTACACGGAATTAGGTACTACAAAAAAATATTGCATACTTTTAGACACATTTTAAAGTGGTTTAAAAACTCGAGTAATATCTAGATCACATCATTTTAAAGAAAACCTAACAAGGAAAGAGTAATTCCTAAAAAAAATATTGAATTAATTAATTTTGGCATTAATAGCAGTACAGGCCTTTCGCTTTTCCTAAAAATATATCCTTATTTTTCACACATTTTCCCCTTCTTCTAAGAAAACCCCTTGAAATATTCTCAAAAAATCACTCACCTTTCTCCAAGCTTGCATTGCAAAACTTGAGGGCATCGTCGAGCAGGTTGAGGTGCATACAGCTGCTGGCCTTCTCGCTGATTTTCTTGGCCTGCAGGTCCGGGCCCCACCATTTCTCCACCAATCGGCGCACCAAAACATCCGGCATGAACTTCATGGCAGACGAACCACCATGGTGGCCAGAGGTATAGCCACTCAGTCCCAGAGCTGCTGCTGCCGAAGTCGAAGCCATGGTGGTGGTGGCCGTGGCCGTGGTAGAAGCCACCGTAGTGGTGGTCACCGTCATGGGCGGTGCCGCCAACCTATGGACACTAGATGCCAGCTGAACTCCATAACCCACGGGAAAGCTCATCAGTCCAAGGTTCGCATTATTGTGGTTTGTTGTGGGCGCCGCAAAGAAGCTGGCCTGAACCGCTGGACCGCTTGCCGTGGTCGTGGTGGTGGTCAGGGCGCAGGGCGGCGAGGAGTCCTGCATCCGCGGAAAACGCACCTGGCAGATGTTGCACTGCGTGATCGTTTCGCAGCACTGCCGGCAGAAGGTGTGGCCACAGTTGGTGGTCACCGGGCAGCGCAGGATGTCGTTGCACAGCGGGCACAGCAAGGGATCATAGTCCTCGGGGTCCTGCAGAGGACTGGGAACTCTTAGTTCTCGCGTGGGCGAGTGCAAATCCAGGGGAGAGGCTGCACCAAAGGACTCGTTGGGGGATTCCCTTGCTCCGGGCAGGAACTCTGATCCCTGATTAAGCTTCTCCTGATGATGATACCGCGACCAGGGCATCATGTCCATTCTGGGACTTTTCAACGCGGTGGTTGCGGGATTGGCTGTGCTTGTGGCTATGCCTCCCATCTGCCGGATGTGTGAGGTCAAAGCGCTGGCCAGGATGTTCAGCTTGTCCAGGGGGACATGGCCATCACACTGCCGGCTGGCTATCAGTTCGTAGACATCGAAGGCCTTGGGCAGGCTGCCGATCTTGGCGAAGGACTCGCCCACCAAGTAGGACAGGTGCAGCGAGCTCTGGCTGTCGTCGTCGCCGGCCAGGTAGCACTGTACCCCGACATTGTGTGGCTGGCGGTGGTGGTGGCGGTGCTGCTGCTCCTGGTCGTGCTGCTCCTTACGGAGCACCTTCAGCACCCGCTTCTTGGCGCCCAGCGAGGAGGGCTTCACGCAGTAGCCCTGCGACAGCGGCATTCCTCCTCTATAGTTGTCGCGCGGGCGTATTCCCCGTTTGGTTTTATTTCGATTTCGATCGGAGGGTAGAGCTGCCTGCAGTCACGTATGCAACACGTAGCGCGGCTGCGTTGCCTCGGAAATATATTCTATCTTTCAGATACCATATAATATCTATCTATCATCACTTCACTTCACTCTCGCGCGGCCCGCACACTTATTCTTTCATTTATTTCAATTATTTCGATTATTTCGAAACTAATCTCGGGCGTGCTCTGCTTTTCACGGTTTTGGTTGAACTGAAGAAGAAGTTTTGACAGAGGCGGCGAGGCATCTGAAAGAAATAAAAACAAAAAGAACGGAGAGAACAAAGAGAACATGGTATTAGTACGATTTTGATTCCGATTTCGATTCCGGGAGAAGAGAGACTGGCACTCAGAAGAGAGAGGGAGGGATATATGGGGAGAATGTGAAGTAAGCGGAACAAGAAGAAGATAGTCAGCGGCGGGATTTACGTAACGCTAAAAAAAAAAATACAAATAGAAATAAAAGCGAGCGCAGGCCAAGAAAATGAATTAAAACTGACTGATTCTCAGAGGCAGCTTTTGATTCTGTTTTATAATTCCGCAAACACACACTAACGCACTGGTGGAGAGAGAGCCCCTCTCACTCTCTCTCTCTTTTGATATGTCTCGCGCTCTCTGATTACTGGGTGGCGAAGAAGAGGAAGAACTGTATCTATTACTTAACCACTGGAGAATGTCAGATACACGAGTGTATCTCGGAAATGAACTGCACTTCTCGCAGCCAGGCCCAAAAAGCGATGACGTGACTTTCGTCGCCTTAGCACAAAGTTAATTGCCGCCCAGCAGCAGCGGCAGCAGCAGCACTAGGAGGTATTATATAAAACAGAAGTGTGGAAAAAGCGCGGGTTCATTGAACTTTGTGCCACTGGAAGCTAAATCTATATACTATATTCCTGGATAATTACAGTTAAACTAGCGTTAATAGTTGTCTTTAGAACATGGTCTTGGCCGGGCGCGATGTGTCGCACATGCTGTTACATAATATTATGAAAATTAACACTGAATCACATAGACGCTGCTGCTGCTGCTGCTGGCCCCAAGTAACACGAAATCAAAATCATTGACGACAACACACACACACAGATACTCTCACACACACCAGCAAATGACTCGCTCTTTGAGCGGCTTGGCTTTGGCTCTCTTAGGCGTTTGGCGCTCTCTTCTAGAACTCTTGCTTCTAGCGGGTTCTTTTTGTATCTGTGTGTGTGAGAGCATTCAAAAACAATTTGTGCTAGTGTATGGGTATGTTTTGTTTTTGTCTTGTTTGGATGTTGTTTTTGTTTTCCTCTGATTGTGATTGTGCGCACGTTTTGCTTTTGACGTCGTCCGTTGTATCTTTAAGATAAACAATGCCGGCATAACATAACCGCCGCACACACGCACACAGATACAGATACACTCGCAGTCCGAGTTCGGTTCGGTTTTGTCATTGCCTTTGCCTTCTCTTCGCATTCTGGTTTTGTTATGTAAACAATTTTCGCTTGTCGTCCGCCCGGCATCGAGATCTTTATAGTTTTCCTTTCCTAACATAATTTTTTGTTTACATTTCCAAAGGCAATCAAAGTGTGCCAAAATACAAAGGAAAAAATAATACAAAAAAATTGAAAAGCCAGAAACAAAAGCAATAAATAAAATAGTTCAAAAATTGCGTGCAAATGAAATTTTTTTGGTTCATTATTCAATTTATGCTGTCTGGGCCTGTGTGGGTTATAAACTCACACAAACACACACGGCCACGCATATTTATATCGGCGACGTGTGTTTCTTTTTTTTTGCATAAATCTCGTTGTTAAGTAATGCTGAAATATCTTATAAGTTGGTAGTTAGCCAAGAAAATGAATTTATCAAGGGTGTGTGTTATGTGTGGGGGCCGCCACGCCGCAATCATCCGCAGATATACGATCTTACGTGAAAACTTGCGATCGAGACGGCGACCCAAAAAGTATATCAAGAAATACGGATTTTATATATTTGGAATAGAATTTCGGTTTGCTGCCAGGTTACATAAGATCCGGGGCGAAGTTTTGTGCGTTAAATGTGAAATTATAGGGTATTTAATTGGGATATTAAAACTTATTTTAAGGGAGGTTGAATTGGGGCATACTTGGGGGATAATTTAGAGTTTAATAAATATTATTTTTTTTATTTATTATACAACTTTTCAATACTAAGACATTTTTTTTAAGATTACTTCCTTTAAGGGAGGTTAAATTGAGTCTTTATAAATTTAAAATTATCCATTTAAGGTCCTAAAATGTATAATTGAAGGCAAATAATTTTATAATTCGTTATTTATTTTCCTTTGAATAAACCTTTGACAGAAAAGAATTTTTTAATATCTCAGCAAATAATTTCTATAAAAATTTTAAATTTTATTTTCAAAAGAAACAGTTTTGTATTACACATTATTACAAAATTACATTTATTTGGAATTTCAAAGGTCAGTTCTTTTAAGAATTTACAATTTTTAATTTCCCTTTAAAAACATAAAGAGATAACGTCCACTGAATTCTAAGGAAATCCCATTTAAAGTCTACATCAGATAAGGTATGGGTGTTCCTAATAAATTGAATATTAAAAATAATACTTTAAAATATATAAAGTAAGCTGTTTTCTTAATTTTAAAATATATTTAAAATAAGATAAATGAAACTAAGACTTTAATTCTTCAAACCTCAATTCAAATTCAGTAAATTAAATTGTTTAAAAAATTGTTTTCATAACATTTTCCCATAATACTTAAAGTTGAACGAATTTTCATAATCTCTAGTTTATTTATAAACTTCCCTTAAATTTCCCTTTCGCAAACTTGCAACTGAACTCGACCTTCATGCACTTGAGAAACCCCACCTTTTAGATTATTTTAAGCAAAACTTTGCCCAAGCTCTGACTAGGCTCTGAAACCGTAGAAAAAACCGTAAAAAAATACAAAAATAGATAGCTGCCGGCGAGGGTGTCGGAACGGGATATACAAACATGTACAGATAGTGTTCGTAGGCAATAGCAGTTGGCATTGTGAAACATTTAGTGGGGAGGGAAAAAGTTGGTAAACAAGCTTTCTGGCACTCGATTCTAATTGTTCCTGCCGACGACTTGCTTTGCGTAAGTCAAAATTATGTGTGCGCCTCCAATATATAAGTGCACGTGTGTGTGTGTGTGTGTGTGGGCTGCAATCGTGGGTCCGTGTATTCAAGCGGATTGCATAACCCGAAGCCGATAAACGTAAGCGTTCCTAAATGAACTGCAAATATGTCGAGGGGGCGGTCGGCCGGCTGCTGACCGATTCGCCTAGAAACACGCCCGCAGGGCATAAGCTTGTAGATTGCCTTATATTTTACCATATTGCCATTATGCAATGTCAATCATATAGTAGTAGTCACTCGTCGCCTGCCGCTTTATCGCCCCGTCCATCGCCAGTCAGACAAAATGGCAGCGGTGACAGCACGATGTTGATAGTCGTAACAGCCGTTGATGATGGTGTGTTCTAAGTCCCCTGAATGTGCAGCCATTGTTTGTTTTTAAAACCGATAAGTGATACTAGACAAACGTTGATTGAAGCCAATGGCGGAAGGAATAGTATGAACTACTAGTTATAGGGGAATAGATGTGCAAGACTCTTTTATGATACATATATTTAGGAATATAAAAAGTCATAATTGACATCTGTTCTACATTAATTACTATTAGATTCTCAAGGAAACAGGATCTCCCTAGAGAGTTTGAAATAAGCCAAAAATTAATACATTTAAAAATGTACAATGTTATTAGTCATTGCTTAGTCACTTCATGTAACAAAAATAAAGCATGATGAAACTATTTGAATTATAAAATTCATCTTGATATAGATTTCAAATATAATATATTTATATTTATATTCCACTGATTGTTTTTTATATAGTAAATTCTGTAGAATGATGTTATCTTGAAAACTGTGATTATTCTTTATATGATTTTGAAATTATAAAATTCATCTTGATAATGAATTGAAATAAGCAAATATAGTTACTATATCATTAGTATATTCTACCAATTAATTTGTAGATAAATTCTTTGTAATAATCTTATCTTTAAAACATTGATTATAACTCGTTTTGATTTTCTTCTCTCTTTTGGCTTCCATATCTTTATTATATCCTATAAACACTAGATTTCAATCAACACACAAATTGTGTTCTATCAGCATTTATCAATCATTCGACATAAGCAATTATGTTGCATAACAACAAGGCGACGAGGCAAAGAAACTGATTATGCTCCCGCTGGTAATTTTTCCCGTAATTATGAAATCATACACACGCAGTTATGAAATCACATACACATTTTCATTGCCTCCGATGTTGGCGTTTGTATATTTTGATTTCTTCTTTGATATTTGTTTTATTGGTTTCCCATTTGTTAGCGTTTTTTTTTTGTTCGCCCGTTTTATGACATTGTATTTGGTTGGACGAGGACGGACGATAAACACTCATAAAAATAGCTCAAAAACAATAACAAAGAGCAGAAGAATTTATTGAGGCAAGCCAATTAGCAACAAAATTTCTAGTTTGTGACTTTTCAGCATTCAGTTTTGATTTCACTCGGATTATACAAGAACCCCACTCACTGGCTGACTAATTGGCGGGTCCCTTTTCCGACTTACATAATAGAGTGTGTGTCTGATTTCGTTTTCCTCGCCGCTGTTTGCATAATAACAAACGATCTGGCTTTAAGTCTGGTTTCCTCAGCTCATTCGGCTCTGACTCATGACGAACCTTTTTACCACGATGACGTATGCAAATAGGTTTTTCCTCTTTTCGAGTTGGCTATAATTTTTTTTTTTTACTATTTCGGGCCAAGTGAGCGACTAACCGAATGGTTGTTGTTCATTGGCAGCCAACGTCGCGTAATACTCGCACATGTACAGTGCGTGTCGTAACGTTAAACGTCTTAGCCCGAGTGGTAGAGGGAGGAAGAGAAAGAAACTTGCTTGGGAAGCTGGCGAAAAATGGATGCTGACCCCAGACAAATTGGAGGATTTGAGCTAAGCCAGATTATAGCAGTTTGGCAACAGGCTTTTTAGATACAGAAAACATTTTAAAATAGTACAGTGGCTTATCTGAGGTCTAAATAATTGAATCACTAGGTGGGTGGGTTTATATTTATGATTTGGGTACAGTAAATTGTAGCAAATTAATTGTAATCTTGCTAAAATATTATTAATGCCTCTTTAAAGGGTTAAGACGCCTAGAAAAGTGGGTTTTGGGAAAAGTTTCCAAATAATCTGTAAAATATGTATTATTTTAACTATTGGTTACTTTAAAGTGTATTTAAGATATTTTGTATTTAAAAATAATAAAATATCGTTAGACTCGAAGGTGCTAATGCCAAGCTCTTAGAATGCCTCCCAAAAAAGTCGGATTGACTTGAAATTTTTACAGTGTTTACTTAAATAGATTTAGAATCGAAATTAAAATTTAAATAAAATGTAATGTTTTAAAATTCGGACTATTATATAATAATATTTAATATTTCATTGAATAAAAAAACTCACAAATAATATCATTTTTATCTTCTTAGTTTCTTTAAATCAAAGCTGTAATTAAATTCTGGAAAAATTCTTTGCGCTTAAGATTACCAAAACAAAATATACAAATGCCTGGATTAATTCCTTTGAACTTGTGTTTTGTCTAGATCTCATGTTCTCTATTTTCTAAAGTGTATCAATTTTTATTTGGTTTCGATTTTGGTATGCCCAACAATGTTTAATAATGTTCATTTAAAAAAAAATACAAAATTAAATTTAAAAAATGGTAAATTTATAGAAAATTGGTAGGTTTTAAAGCCTAACTTTACTTATTTAATCAATTTATTATTTTTTTCTAATTCTTTTTTATATTAAAGAACAAAGACAGTTTTGCTAATTCCAAGCCTAGATTATTTGTGGAATATTTTAACATTTATTTTTATAGTGTTTTATTAACTTTCCCAAAGCAATTACTCACTAAGAACTTTCCTCGAAATTCTTTTCCCCACCGAAATTCAATATAACATTGTTCTTCCCTACCCTGTGACGCCGGTTATCATTGCTAATTTATCATAAAATCATTATATTATATGTTTTTCCGTGAAAGTTTTTATCACAGATTAAATATATAAAATGATTATCGAGTGCAGGCCAAATTCAATTGGCCACAGCAGGCAGAACGTCAACAAACGGCGCAAAAAAACGCTTAGTAATGCCTTTAAAAATATGGCAACACGTAAGAGGCGGCTGCCGCACTCTCCCCCCTTTGCTTGCAGCTGCAGTTTGTGTTTTCACAATCAGCAGATAGCAAATGAAAAACAGTTTTTCGCCCCACCAAAAGAGCGTCAAATTAAGAGAGAGCCGACTTGAATGTGCCAATATCTTTGAGATACGAAAAAAAAAATGCAACTTTGTTGAGCTCTCTCGTTCGCTGGCGTTCATTCACACGGGGGCCACACTGAGAAAAAGCATGTGGCCACGATGTCGTAACCCTAAGAGAGCCCCAACCACACAGAGAGCGAGAGAGTGGGTCGAAGAGTGAGCCTATAAAGGGGAGAGTTCACTTCTCTTTCGCCTTACCTGTCGCTGTTGGACCGCGCCTCCTTGTGTTTTTAGCCCAAAAAAGGGGGTGGCGGGGATAGCTCGCTCTGTTGCTCTCGAGAATCACACACACACATAAACACAGAAGCACACGCGAAATTCTCCCTCTTCTTCTTGCGATTTCTTAAAATTATTTTTTTTTTTTTATAAATTTTTTTTCCTGATTCGCTTTTATATTTTTTTTGTTTGCCAAAAAATTTATTGCCACACGCGTGCAAAAAGAACGGGAATTCGGGAATATATTTTCCTGTCCCGCTTTTTTTTTCTCGCACTTGTATTTGTGTATTTGTATACGTATTTGTTGTTATTTTTGTGTTGGGCGTGCGCGTAACTTTTCTCGTGTTATGTGTTGTATTTTTTGTTATTCGCTTTTTTTTTTTGTGTTTTGTAAGAACTTGGAACGGCTTTACGTAACCCCGCCGCACACACGGGTTAAATTTTTGCTATATTTTTTCCGTTGGAGAGGGGGCGGGGGTGTGCGGCACCCCTAATGGGCGTAGGTATAGGTAGTCCCTGCTTTATTCGGGGCCAATTTATTTACTATTTACACTGGGGAAACACGCACTAAACGACAGCACTAGTATTTGTATTTTTATTATTTTCTGATTACGTTGGCGTTTGTTTTGTAATACGCTTACGTTACGCGACGGCGAGAAGGCGAAAGAGAGACCACGACTACGACGGCGGCGGCAACAACGTGTTTCGAGTGGCTCCAAGCGATGATTTGCGCTCTAATTTGTTGTTATTTCTTTTTTAAACTAAACTGTAGTTTAATATTTTTTTTATTAATATTTTTCTCTCTGCCAATGGCCTCTTGTTTGATTTTATTTATCTCGGCCTGGGCTTCAAACGTTTCTCGGCTGTCTGAACTTGCCACGGCCGCTGTTCAACAGCGAATGAATGGAGCACCTCGGCCAGCGGGCTGTCAGAGCGAAGCAGCTCTCTTTTGGGGGGCCCAAAGAGCGTTTCAAATACTCGAATATTATGTCACTGGTGGGGATGTTGGGGCTCTTAGGCCTCTGTTGCGTCATCAATTGCTTGACTCCAGGTTCTCTTCGGCGGCGTTTTGTGTGTGCTCTCTCTCTCAACACGGTGCTCTCCACAAAAAAATTTGCCGGCAAAACGTCAACTGTCAAAACAGGCGACGCCAAACTAAAGTGATGGTGATGAGAGGGTGAGAGAGAGAGAGAGCGAGTGTGGGTGTTGGGGAAAAACCAAAGGGACAGAGCGAAGGGGGAGGGAAGTAGGAGGCGGGAGGGAGGTGCTAGTTTGCTAGTGGGCGTCATTTATCGTATGATGCGCATTTCCGGCGCCACTCAACACAGACAACAGGCCATATAGGCAGCAGCAACATCAGTAATAACAACAAATACAGTCGATCTTCGGTGGCTAGAAAATTTTGTTGAAAAATATGTGGTTTCTTAGAAATTAGAATTATTATTTTGAATAAATTTTAAACAGGATTATATTTTAAAAATATTTATATACCAGGAATATTTATATTATGTTTCATTTTAAAAACATTTTTCACGTAGATTAGTTTAATAATATTATTAAATTAATTTTTATATTTTAACTAGCACAATTATATAATCTATTATCTCAGATAAACAAATAAATATCCGAGTTATAGATACTCGTCTGTAATCGAATTTCTGCGTTTCATAAGAGTCGCCCGTCTCTTACATTTGGTTTTGTCATTTAACGCAAATTACGTATACGACGCGTTGACCTCATTTGGGGCGATCAACAAATGCAGTTGCCGCCGACAAGCTTGGCTTAAACAGACCCCTTGGTCTCTCTTTCTCTCTCTCTCTCTCTTTCACCACTTCTTTCTCTTTTTTCGTTTCGCTTGGCTCGCATTTCAAGCTCAAGTTCAACGTTGTCTGTTAGCCGCTTGCTGCCTGCTTATTACCAGTTTTCATGCCATCGTCGGTGGCTTGGCATTAACATTTTGAGTGTCGGCTGGGTTGTTGTTAACTCTTTATACGCTTTCGTAAGCCTTGGGGCCGTAACAATACATACATATATGCGAGGAGAGCGGAGGGACCCGCATATGTTTGAGCATTGCTCGCATTTATTGCAACATTTCCCCATAGGGAAGTAATCGAAATGGTTCGCATCGAGTCTGGGTCTGGTTTAAAGTGCAGAGAGAGAAAAATCAGCATACTAAGATGCCTTGTATTCTTATGCTGCGAGGAGAATGCTATTTTTATGTATTTTTAAAAGGACATTCAACAATAATATTAATTATTAATAATATATTACATTAATATCCTTTTAAAAATCCATAAAATCAACACGTTTTTGTTTTGTTTTCCTACTTTTAAATGATCTTTGAAGTAATCTTTTCCAATATTTATTAATTTAAAGTCCTAAGCCTTTATTTAAAATCTAAAAATTGACACAAAATAATTAATTGAAAGATTTTGTATGTGTGTAGCTGTTTCAGTTATTTCTTTCTGTGTAAAAGTTATGCAGCTCCCATTTTTTCAGGTAGTTGCCGCTGTTGTTGGCTGTTAATCAACGGAAATTAGCTGCGAGTTTCATGTTTGAGATGTTTATTTTGTAAGCAATATATGAGGAAATTAGTTTTAAAGTTTTTTTTTTTTATTGGTTTCGTTATGTTTTTTTTTTTTTTTTGCATAAGCTTCAACAGATTTGGGCTTGGGTGGAGCTCAACTTAGTTTGGGTGTGGAAAGCTGGCAAACAAATCAAATTGTTTCCGATCTTTGCTGTCGTTGACTTGGTAATGAATATGAGTTGAAGTCGGACGGGTATCAGTTTGAAGAGATTGTTAAAATATATATTGATTATTGTATATTTATAGCATATATAAATTATTTGCTGGAAAACTAAAGAGGACCATTTTGTGACTCAATTAAAATAGAAATGGATAATTGTTTCGTTGTTTTTCGAGTTCTCAAGTAAACATATTTTTGTCAACGTCCCAGGACTTCCTTCATTTAATGAAGCCTGGCAGTTGTTTCACAGCTCATATCAACTTCCAGTTTTGAAGTCCTCTTTCCACTCACCAATTATGCAATCAACTTGACCTCCAGACCCTTAAAAAATATATATATTCAAGCTGCTTTGAAGGCCAACCAGTTGCTCTTACAGAAGCCGCCTCAAAGTAGGCTATAAAAACTTAAACCGAAACTTACCTGAAAAGTATATAATTCCAAAAAAGAAATAAAACAATTTCCAAAGTTAATTTTTTTTTTTGCATTTATCGTTTCAAAATTTGTATCTAAACCTTTATTGTTTGTTCTTTTTTTTTGCAGTTTCTCATAAAACATATTTACTCGCCCTCATTTTCCGCCTTACGTTTCTCTTCTAAATCTCACTTCTGATCGCTTGAAGTTCCTACGAATTAATTTAAGTTGCCTTTTTGAATCAAAGCCCATAACAGAAACATAAACCTCACTTACAACATTAACAAAATCTACAAAAAAAAACTTAGATTGAATGCCGTTCGAACTTAAGCTTAAGTAAGTGTAAAATAATTAACAAATGAGTTTGGTTTTTTGTTCGTAATAAAATATAACTAATATCTGCAGCGTATTCGAGCACTTGTGTTGAATTTGTCGTTTAAGTTGTTACTTTTATTTTGGTTTTGTATATATATCTAGGTACATGTTAGTGTCCTTGCTTAGGCTTTCATCGTTAAGTTTTAATTTGAATTTGGTTTTTCGTATTTCTTTTCTTGTGTCTTGCATGCTGCCAACAACAATTAGGCTGAGTTTATCGTGGATTTCTTATAGCATTGCTCTAATGCCGTAAGCAGATTTTGTTTTCTCTACGTTTTTGCTTGAAGTACCAAATGAAGTTTGTTTTCCTTGAAGCTTTGAGTTTAGCTTTGATCTAGCCTCCACTTAAACTATTGTAGCCTTGTGTTGTCTATGAATTTTACTTTCAGCTTTTCTTGCTTCGTATATAAAATTATTTGCATTTCGTTTCGTTTTGCAAAATTCTCAAAATATAAGTAAAGGCTCTAAAACGCTTTTTAAGTTCTCTTTTAGTTGGGTTTTTGTTTTATTTAATTAATTTAGCTTGATTTTTTGCAACAACTAACAATTTTTTGTGTTTTTTTTTCTTCTTTTTATCTTTACTACATTTAAATATTTTTATTTGAGGATTTTTCTCGGGGGTTTTCTTTTATTGATTTTAAAATTCAACAACATTTTTGTCTTTAATATTATGTAAGAATATATTTATATATATATATGTATATATAAGTTATGTATATGTGTATAATATTATGTATATAATTATATAATAGCATTTAATATGTTTCGCATTGCCATCGGTTCGCTTCGCCACTTCCGTTTCCGCTCGCTCCATTTTGTTTTTCAACTCTTAAACACTAAAAACACTCAGCACTCGCCCTCAAGCAAGTTACTTACTTACTTAATTTATTCGCTTTGCTAATTTCTCGTTTTCTGTTTTACTTTTTTGTTTGTTTTCTGCTTTGCACTGCAACAATTTGTGTCTTTAGTTACTATTTTTAACCCTGCCTAACGATCGCCGTTCATTTGCCCGCTTGCTATGTAGTTGAGTGTACTATACGTAGGCGTACAACTAATATATGTATAAGGTTTATATAAAAATCATCAACTACGAATTTATCTACAAAAGTTACTCGTTACTCATTTGTTGTTGCATGCGAAATTCATTTAACTAATCCTTGTTGTATATAATAAATATATATATGTATATATTTATACTTTAATGTTTATTATTGTATATTAAACATAATTTCGTTAGTTTTCACTTTTTGTTTTATTTTTTTAATTTCTTGCTTATGTTGACAAAAAATGTTTCATACTTTTCAGTTTTATCGTCTTCTGTTGTTGCTACAAAGTCTACATTTTGTTACGGAACATTCTTATACGAAAATCTTGCTTTTCATTTCCTTTTTTCATTCTTTTCCAACTTAAAAATGTTGTTGAATGTGAAAATAAAAAGCATCTACAACAAACTCGTTGCATAAAATACTTGCTTACACTTAGCTTTGCTTGCCTTTTTTGATGGTTTTTCTTAGCATTTTCTGTGGCTAGCTTTTGGCCTGGGAAATTCAAGGCCTAGAAGTAGGCTACAGAAATCGCAAACCTCCCTTTCGCTGCTGCTGCTGCGACCCGTGCTTGTGTGTGTGTGAGTGTGTGTTGGCCAAACTAATTGATAAATTTTTGGACTCGGTTTAAAAATGTATTCTGTGTTTTATTCAACAATTCTCTCTACATAAACGAAAAAATTCTCTACAAAAATTCAACTACAAACTACGGAAAACAATAAGTTTTAAAAATATACACTTTTACGCTTAACCAACTGTGTGTGTTTGTTGTGTGTGGGAGGAGGTTCACTGCCCAGGCCAAGTAATTAAGCAAAATATTGTATTAATTTTTCACCTCTACGCGCGATCTATGATACCTTTTTGTCATATTTCGTCTTAGATATAAATATTTTTATATAAATATAACATGATTTTTTCTGTTGTACAAATATGTTGTAGCAATTGCTTGAATCTGCTTAGTTGTATAGTTTAATGGGGTTTCAAGTCCGCTATTTTTGAGTTTTTTTTTAATAAATGTTTTATCATTATCGTATATACTTGTGTATGTGTGTGTGTTTGTGAATTTATTCAACAACCGAAGCTCAAAAATTCTCATTTTTTATTTGCAAAATGACACCCAACATATTTTCTTAGTTTTTTTGTATTTTTAAGGGTTATTTGTAGTGGGTTTATCTTTCTCTCAACTCTTTAACGTTCTCTCCTGTGGTTGTTTTCTCTAGGTGGTCTCATAGCAGTGTGCAAAAGGCTCTTGGGTTTTGATTTTGGAAAGGAAATTACAAAAGAAAATGGGGGAAATTATAAACCAAAGAAGCTTTCTCTGGCTAAATATCTAGGTATATAAATTGCTATATAATGCTATTTAGATTACTTTATAGTTTGTGTAGTTCTTGCATCTATCGTTAGGGTTAGTTTCGATTTAGATTTCGATTCGGTTGCGGTTACGGTTACGGTTACGGTTTATTTTATTAACTCTGTCTTGAGATCCTTGTTTTGTTTTTTAGATATTTACTAACAATGAGCTATGCGGGGCGATTGGATAAGAACTGTGTGTCATAGATAGATAGATATAGAGGGAGGGAGGAAAGAAAACCAAATGTAAACGAATTTTCAGTATTTAAAAGCAACGCTTAGACTTTTATTATTACACACAAATTGTTGTTATTTGTTTGCTTTCTCACTTTCTGTGTTACTCCTTTGCTTTTGTGGTTTTGTTTATGTTGATTTTGCACATGATTTTTCCATAGAATAAATAAAACTTATTGAAATTTGTTAAGAAAAAGTGCTTAATGAACTTAATTAACTCTTCTACTCATCTTCCATTTCTTGTTTTTAGTATTAGCTTCCATTTTGTTTGCTGTTTGCTGAATATAAAATATAAATTTACGTTTTCGGTCTGTAAGTTTTTGTTGTTTCATATATTTGCTTATGTTTCTAGATAATTGTATGCAGGTAAATGTAACTCAAATGTATAACAAATAATAATAATAATTAATAAAACTTAACTAACGAAAATAGTGTTTGTTTAAAGTAACATAATTATTTAATATTATGTAAAAATGTTTTGTTTTTAGATTGTTTTTGTTTTTATGTTTAAGATCTTGCAAATCACACCAAAAGAAATAGTTGTTTCTTGTAATAAAAGGTAAACGAATAAGTTGATTCTTTACAAACTAAAAGGAAAAATGTGAAAAGTAAGTGAGAGAGGGGGGATGGATGGTTGGTATGTGAGTTAGTAGGTAGTAAGAAAAGTAGTTATCTCGCTTTAAACCAGCTGACTATGTCTGGGTTAGTTTTGGGTTGGTTATTTTAGTATCAACAAATCAACAACGAAAACTATTTCACTTCTACTTTTGCATTTATCTGTCTGTCACTGTCCGTCCGTGTTTCGGTTTATTTTTTATCGTTTTCTTGTATTTTTGTTTATTTTTTTGGGTTTTCTGATATATTTTTCTCTCTTTAGGTTTATATAAAAATCATAGCTCACTTAAACTAACCAGCTGCCAAGTGCCCGGCAACTGAGGAGGGAAGTTCTTTGCTCATTTCTAAATGGTTTTCCTTAGCGTTCCTTTCTCTTTTCTTTTTTTTTTTTTGTGGGTTTTCATTTTGCAATTTTTTATACAAGATTTTCTTATGCTTTTTTTGTGTTAATTCTTCTCTCGATTTGAATTTGAATAAAAGGCAACGAAATTATTTACAATATGATTTGTTGTGTGTTGTTTTCCTTTCACTATTTGCTAAAGCAAAACTTAACCGAAAAACTAATTACAAAGAATAATAAAAATTAGTTTAATAATAGTAGTAAGTAGAAGAAGAAGTTGGGGGAAAATAATGTAGACGCTGCAGGAGAAAAAATGTAGAAGAGGGGTTCGCGCATAAAACTAGGCTAAACAACTATTAAACAATTTAAAAGATAACAATTCTACGATTCTGGGTTCTAAGTGTGTCTGGCTGCGTGTGATCTAGGATTACCATTGCGCTCGGAAGTATGCTACTTTAAAGGCAAAAAGCGCGAGACTTTCTTTAGTTTTTTTAACTCCTCTAAAAAATGTTTAGTTTCTCCTCCTTTTGTGTTTAGTTAATTTGCTTTTAGTTCCGTTTTTCGTTTAGCATAAAATAAATATTTAAGCGGAGCACGACGCCGTGAGGGGTGTAGTAGGTGTGTGGTTGTGTGTTTTTGCTTACTAATTATATTTTTTCACATATATATATTTAGATATATATATATTTAGATATATATATATAAGATTTATAGTGTAGGTTTTCATGTCTGCATTACTAAACATTATTAGTAGTTTTATCATAATTATGATTATTGTTATTTTTATCAATAATTATTATTATTTAATTGTTGTGGTGTCCTCAGGCCAAGTCACAAAATTGTATTTATCATTACACATCTTGGAATTTCGATAGACGTGCACGCAAGTCCATGTTCTCCTGTTTCAACTGCTCCACCTCTTGATGTAATGTTGCATTCTAGAAGAGGGATTCAGGGATTAGATTTGGATATTAGTTTTGAGAACCCCTCCAATACTCACTTCCTTCTCCAAGTAGCGTGCCCGCATCGCAATCTGGTTCTCCTTTTGGCGCCGGGCATCGCGGGATCGCTTGGCGGCAATGTTGTTCTTCCGGCGGCGGGCCCAGTACTTGTCGTCCTTGAGCTCATCTGGAACGAATTGCTTGCGTGACTTTTTGATCATCGGCTGCGGCTTGAGCTCCTCGTCGGAGAAGGCTCGGGTCCGCGGATCAAAGTCACGGCCCGAGGAGGCGAACGAAAATGCTGGAATATCAAATACTAAATGTTAACAATGTTTCACAGACTGTTTCGTGCTAAATTAAAATCATAAAAATCAACCTCAAAGACGGGGAAACTCAATTAACGAATGGATGGAAACTCATGACAAATTAGAAATTGAATTTAATATGAATTGAATTGAATTGAAATTGAAATTGAAATTTAAGGATTTGCACAAATTGGAATGGGAATCATTGAGTCAAAAGGCCTTGCGGCCTTTTCGTTGTGTCTCTTTTTAACATTTAGCATTTGATAAGACATTTGTGGGTAACTTAAATTAATTTATACAATTCCATTATAATTTAAGTTAGAAGCAATGTCCATTCCATTTGTGTTTTTCTTTTACATATATATATTTTTTAGTTTACAAAAATCAGTAATATAAAATCAGATTCTTACTAGCAATATCAATCGTGGTTTTAAGAGTTTCGATTATGATTCTTATTTCGATTATATCGATAACAAAGCGTTATGTCAAACATTTTATAAGAATTTCCAAGATAACTTCTGTAGCTAACTGAAATTTATTTTATTTTATTTTTAATATTCAAAATTAAATATGAATTCATAAATTTGTTATAGCTGGAACTGGATATTGTTATCGATTACATTTATATTACATTTTTTTATTATTTGAATATTAATAAAATTAATAAAAAAAAAAAAAAAGAATGAAATTATATTTTAAAATATTTGTGTTACTAATATTTGAATTTAAATTTGTTATCGATTTATGGAATCCATATTTATCGCTTCATTTAGTTTTATAATTTTGACATATTAGTTTTAACGTCCAATTTTTCTTCAATATTTTGATTATAATTTTTATAGCATGTCGATTTATTATTTCGATAATTCTTTTAATTTATCGCTTTTATTTGCTTAACAATTTTGATAGATATTCAGTAATTTCGATAGATATTCAGTAATCTCGATAGATATTCAGTAATTTCGATAGATATTGCCTTTTTGAAATTTTCTTTTTTACAATTTTGATTACGATTTCTTGTACAATCTTTATTGCAATGTTATCGATAAATCGATAGACAGCATTTCGCTATATACTCACTTGACTCGGCCGGCGATGGCGGATTTAGCGTGTCCGGACTGATGCAGTCGGACGGCGAGGGCGACCGCTCCCGCTTTGTGGTTATGTGGCCAAGGCCGAGCGACAGACCCGCTGCGTGGCCCAGGGAATCGGACCGGTGGCCCAGGCCACTCGAGTGGCCCAGATGTGTGCCGGGCAGGCCATCAGGTATGTTGTTCTCCGAGAGGAACTCGTCTAGGTCGGCATACTATAAATGGTGGAATTAAAAAAAAATGCAATGAAAAACTTTGACACAGATGGGAGGAGCACATATTTCCTTGGGGTTAGTTACACGATCTGAGCTCTGATGATGAGAATACAATTCTCGCACTAAGTAAAGCAATCGATAACATTCACGTTAACTGGTGTGTATGTTTTGTCATGACTGTACTGCGTTTCGGTTGTGTGTGTTGTGTATTTTTTTATGTGAAATTTTGAGCTTTTTCATTTTCTTGTGTAATTTGGACCGTCGGAACATTGTATAAAGAGAAAGACGCAGCCACTACGCAGCGATGATAGAAATGATACTAACTTGTGTTACCTTGAGGTCGGCATCGTAGGGCAGGGTCTTGTCCCACAGATTTGGGCCCAGGAACGCTGTCTGCGCCTCGACATTCCAAATGTCGCCCTCCTCCTTGTATTTGTCATCGGGGCAGATGATTTCTTTGCTATTCGATGTGGATTTGCCTGCAAAACACATATGGAAAGGGTGCAATTAGTAACTGATTAGATAGTGGTCTATAAATAGATGTACATGGCCAGTTAAGGGTCCCGATGAGATGGCTATTGACTTTGTAAAGTGGGTCAAGTGCTCTTCATTTCTCTTATTATATAAACCATTTGAATTCTTTTGGAATCGTATGGGAACACCGCACTCTCATAGAGCTAGCAACAATTTCCGCAAATTTCCGCATGCTAAAAACGGGTTTACAGGCAAACAAAAAGGAGAAATAAAAAAAAGACAAAACACAACGAAACAAAGAAAAGAAAACCAACAAACAAACAAATCACACACACAATGCAAACAACGGCAAGAGGAAGCACGAAAAGCGAAAGTGAAATTTTTACTGCAGCTTTCAAACTGATTTTATCGCTCCAAGCAAATACAAAAACGAATACCAACAAAAAAAAGCAACAAAAAAAGTTAAAGCAAAATAAAAACACTCAAAAAAGCAACAAGTGATGGGTAAAAGCTTTTCCAGCCCTATGGAGTGACTTTTTTTTCGGTGGGGGGAGGAGAGAGCTTTCTGGCTTAGACGACGCTGCGCATGCGCAGCTGAGCATGATCTTTCTCTGCTTTTCGCCTCTTTCCTTTGATTTCTTTCACAAACGAGTTTTCTGCTGGCCACAGACAGTAACAGAAACCAGTTGCCGTCTTTGGTTTCTTCGGCTCGCAATAGTTTCCGCTTTCTTATTCACTCTCACTTTCATTTGCGAATGTTTTTTTTTATTGTATTTCTTCCTTTTTTTTTTTTTTTTTGTGTTTCTTGGACTTTTTACAGTTTACAGTTGTGTGTGGTGCTACTGCCGCTTTTTGCATTACCAACTATTGCGAAATTTTATGCCATTTTGCGGCCTGCCTCTTGCTTTCCTCCTCGCACACATTTCTGGTCTGTGCAATGAAGTAATATCTTTTCTTTTCGATGTGCTCACCAAAGCGTAAGTGAAATGTCTGGGGGTGTGAAGTAATATCTGGTCTCTGGTGGAAATTGGGACTTGCAAATCTGCAAATGCAGTGGCTCTTGTCCAAGCGATCCCCGGCCCACGCGGCGTATGGGTAACGTGCGAGTATATCATGAACTATTTGTCGCTGTCGCTGAATGTCTTTTGGCTTTGTTAATTAGACACTTGTGTTGCCTTTTAGGAGGATTTATGTCTGGGAATTTTTGGAAAAACAGGCTTTGAACTTTGTCACTGTGGATGCCGGCATAAAAAATGCATTTTAAGGCATATAAATAGTTGGTAAGAGAAGAAATGATGAAAGTTTGGTAGTAAAAACCAATAAGTTAATTTTTTTGCAATATTTAAGGTTGAGAGTTTATTTTAATATTGAATAATATTATAATTTCTCTTTACAAAATTTGAGATGGAAAGTTTCTCGCTTTTTAAGCCTTATTTAAATATTTAAATATTTTGTGGGTATCCAAAATAAATTATAAAAATGCTTTTAAATTTTATTAGCAAACTTAAGTGCAAAAATTTAAATCTGAAACCAGAATATTTATTTTTATAAATCAAGTTGGACTAAAACTAGTTTATCTAATCTACAATTAGGGTAATGTTCACACCAAAAAATTATGCAAATCAAACAAAACACTCAAAATTTCGATGTTCCAGCAAATAAAAGCAACATTATTTGCCTTAAATCAAGCCAATAAAATATTCTCTAAAAAGCCAATAAAATATTAAACACAAAACCGGCACAAAACTCAGTCAAAAACTTTCGCATATCAATTAAATAAAAACACACACAAAAACATAAAGAAAAAAGCACAAAAGCCAAAGTACAACAACAGCATAAAACATATGATAAAAAGAGAACAAACTAATAACACAAAAATAGTAGAAGACAAAAAACCAAAAACAAAATAACCAAATTACCGTTTGCTTTGCAAATGAAACCCAAAAATGGAGATTTCCTGCCTGTAAAACAAAAGAAACGGAAAAGAAAGATAGTAGAGAAGAAATACAATATTGATTCTTTCACAAAAAGAAAACACTTAATAAGATACAAGAACAGCACAGATATACAGATACAGGAAGGAAGGCACAAGATATATAGCGAAAACGGATATGCATGCAAGCGAAACAGATTAAATGCGAGGATATAGGTGAATATCTGAGCAGGAACGGCAAAGGATGCAAATGAGTTGGACCCTCAGTCAAAAGATACTTTTACTTTTATTTTATTGCCTTCGATCTGAATTTATTTGTGTCTTCGGTTCACTTTCACTGTCATCAGCATCGTTGATTTGTGTGCTTAACAGCAGGAATCTTGTCCGTTGGTTTATTTTTAGAAGCAAAAACCCAAAACAGGAATTCAACTTAATCTTCTCCTCTCGTTTGTGCCTCCGATACGGTTTCGGTTTCAGTTTCAGTTTCTCTTGCCATTTTAAGTGGGTCAAGCCATTTTTTCTTTCTGTGTCATCTTTGGGAGCCCTCGCACCTTTTTTGGGTTTTATTTTATTTTTTTATTTTACCTTTTGGTGTGTTTCTCTTTGTGTTTGGTCCAAAGAAATTTCTCATTTTTGGTAATTAAAATAATTTGCATAATTTTCGTGCGTTTTTAGTCTGTATTTCACTTTCATTAGAAAGGGAGAGGGACACGCATTAGAAAGAGATACAGAGAGATGGAGATAACAGGTAGTTCTCTCTTTTTTTTCGTTGGGCCTACGACAACAAACATATTGTTTCTCCGCGGAGAAACGCTCTCACACAGCTGCGAGTTCTCTTTTTTTTATGAAACTAATAATATTATTATTATGCTTATTACTGGCATATTATTTTTTCTGTAAATTGTTAACTTTTGTGGTCTTTGTTGTGTTAATGGTTGGCCACAATTTTTAGTGGACCATGGTCCGTAGGTTTTTCAGATATATATTTTTTTTTTTGGGAATTAAACTTTCACTTTTTATTTCGTTTTTTTCGGGTTTTAGTATGAAACAGCTTGAATTTTTAAGTTGTGGGTTTTAGTGACTATGATTTTAATGTATAACTGAAGAGGTAATTGAGGAAATGACTAAAATTTAGTCACTGAAGGAAGTAAGTAAGATTTTATGGTTGATTGAAAGTGCGTTTAAGCTTTGGTAATTACATTTTGAACATTTATTAACATTTAATATTTGTGATTTTATCTCTCATAATATTATCAATTTACCAAACCCGCTTTTTATCCTTAAATCAATATTGCTTATTCATTAATTTTCTGGTTTATCTGCTGCACATTTTTAATTGCTCCTTAAGATATATCCTCTCAGGTAAACCAATTAAATGTTTGATTCCATTTCACATCCGTCTCAAAATCTCCTCCCCCTCCAATTTCCCTGGACAAGCGAAATGAAAGTGAGAGTGCTTGCAGCAAAAAACAAGTCTCGTAAAAAAAAAAACTATCCCCAAAACAAAAAACCAGTTTAAAAAATACGCAAAACCAAAAAGCTACTCAGCTCAGCTTCTGCGGGAAGAACAATCTTGAAATGCTGCTGACGGCATTGACAAATATTTATGAAAATTAATTCCACGCGAAAGTTTGCTTTGCTCGGCCCGTTTTAACACCCCTAGATTATCATAATAATAATAATAAAGATCAATAAAAGAGGAATCAACGATGCCTATAAAAATAATATAGGTTTAATAATAATAAAAAAAAGAAAATAAATAGAAGCAGTTGCAAAATTATGCAACTTTTTGCATTTCTGTTGCCGGCAGACACGTTCAAAACCAGCAACAACAACAACAATAATCACAGCGGTAACAGTAACAACAACGCTTTGATTGCGCTGTCCGCCCCTTTCACCTGTCTCTCTGCCTCTCTCTGTCCCCCATTCTCGCACTCTTTTCACTTCCACTCTCGCTCTTTCACTCATTCAGGTAATTCTCTGCGCATGCGTCGCTGCCGGCGTCGATGGCGCAACTGTGACGGGTTTTTATACTCTTTTAAGGGGGTATTATCAATATGGTAGAAAGAAGTAAGCAAACAAAAAATATATTAAAATAATATTTTATACAACAAATTTATCTAGAAACTCAGGACTAACACTTATTTTAATAGTAAACAAAAGATTTTACATTAGTCTTTGCAGATATCTATAATTATAGGTAATAAACCCAAAGGGTATACAAAAGTCGCCTATCTAAAGTCTGTTTCCTGTCTTGTTGTTGGTGTTACAGTTGATGTTACTGCCTTTTCTGTTGGTTGTTGTTACTGCGCATGAGTGACTTGGTGTATTACATCGCTGTATAAACTATATGTACATCGCACTTTTTTTTTATGGTTTGTTGTTGCCATTATTGTTGTTTCTTTTGCTGCTGTTGTTGTTGTTGTTGGTGAAGTGCAGAAAGTGTAACACTTTCGATTGTTGCGCTGTCTCTGTGTGTTTGCGTGTTGTTGCCTTTGAGGTTTTTGTGTGCACTGCATTCATTCCGTATTTGCGCTCATTTGCATTGCTTTTTTACCTTTTTTTACGTTTTAAGTATTTATGTGTGTGTTTGTTTTATGCCTTCTACCGCTCTTTTTTTTGTGAAATTAATTATGTGTGGGAAAATGTGATGGACTTTTGATTTCCGGGTTGTTGGCATGGATATTTGTGGCTAAGGCTTAGGTTTTCATGAAAAAGTACTTAGCTTTTGGCAGATTTAAATTTAGGAAAACTTGTTATTAGAGGATTACAACTTTTACTTTTAATTTTAAGTTTAAATGGTAAAGTAAAAATGTAAAAAAAAAAGTATGTTTCTTGTTTAAAGTATATATTTTAGTAAATTTAATTGAAATTAAGGGAATTAAAAACCTAACTCTTGTTTTTTAATATCATATTTGAACTTGAATTCAATTTAAATATTATTAATAATGGCTTGAAAATGGTTTATAGTAAAAAGTATTATACAGTTTGCTTATTTAAAAGTTTCAGGAAATTTTACAAAATAATCAATTACTTAAAGTTTGACCAAAATGCGTTTAAAATTGAAAATTATTTAATTTTCTATAAAATCATTAAAACATTATATACTTTTAAATACGAAATGCTTTCCACGAAAGGCTTTCCTCAATTTCACAATCTTTCCAGCTGTGCAATTTAATTCTCTGCCATTTCATACACTCTGAATTTTCAGACAGACAGACAGACTGTAGCGGTTATAAACGCGATTTCCCTAACGGCAGACCGCTTTCTTTGTGATTACGAAATTAATAGAAAATTATGAAAGACAAGAAAGAGTGAGGCGAACGAGTGAGCGAAATATTTTGCAATAGTTTAATTGCCCGTCTCGCCGGGGGAAAGTGAAAATCCTCGAGACAGCGACACAATTTGCCACATGCAACTTGATCGCAGTTTTTCCCCCACTCAACCCATTAGCCCAATTTCAGTTTCAGTTCAGAAAGAAAGCCGCAACGTTAGCTGGCGACGGTTAATTAGCAGAAATAAGGAAGCAAAACCGATAATCATACGTATCGTGTTGGCTCTATCAAATTATAGACTCATGCCATAAAGCCACTGGGATTGAGAGGCTAAAACACGAACGAACAACCAGAGACATCGAAACCCAAATAAAATTGCCTCGAATATGCAGAGCACGGCGAAAGAGGACTGGGCGGGACTGGGCTAAAACGTAATCAAAACACACAGTAAATTCAATCAAAGTGCTTCTGGTCTTTATTTTGTTTTGTACCGACGAGAGTATTTTTCGCCTGGCACGACGACGTGTGAACAGATTGCTCATACGCCTCGTGGTACGCCAGAGCTAAAAGACAAAGCTCTCTTTTGGCCACTTTCACTGATTCAAGTTTCTCACCTGGCAGCGTCGCAGCAATTCGCACGTTTTACCGTTGTACCGCCGTACCGCCACACGATTGCGCAACATGCGCCGCCGCCTTAGCCACCGCGACGACTGTGGGCCAAACAACAATATATTCCGTAAATTGGCAACAATCTTGCGTTTTGGCCAAGACGAGTAAGCCGAGTAGCCGAGGCGTTTTTGATTGAAATAACTGTAATACGTTGCATTTTGGCAGGCCGCCTATCTGGGTGAGTGTGTGACGGACGACGCCTCGGGGGGTTTTCTAGTCCCCATTGGAGGCCCCCCCTTTTTCATTTTTTGCCTTTTGGCATGTCTCACCGCACATTTAGCCACATTAATGTGCCAGCAAAGCTTCCCCCCGGAGATAATCCAAACAAAAGGAAGTCATGAAACGTCAGATTAAGGCAAACGAATGAACGAATGGCTCAAGTCATTGGAAATTCGAGGCGACTTTTGAGGTGTTCATTGGCAATTCCTCTGATAGAAAAAAGCTGAAACTGAACGCTGCAGAAGAAGATGTGACTGTTAAAAAGAAGAAAACGTGCTAGAAATGTGTTGCTTTGGGAATTCTTTAAAATAATAAAATTTATAAAAATATATACTACATTTTCCCCTTAGAATATGCCAAAATTCAGGTATACAAGACCTTTTCCCAGCTCATAAATCATAATAATAACAGCTATTTAGATAAAAATATTTAACAGAAAACCCCCCGCAGCCTTACTTTGTTGATTTTTTGGCAACTTTCGAAATTGTACATTTTTTTGATTAAGATAAAATTATATTTATTTCCCACTGTTTTAAGCTGAACTGGAACCCTTCAACATTGGTTTTTTTTACGCCGCAGCTTCTCTCAGTTTTATTTTCAAGAAGAGCCCACAAAGTCAACATCAAAAGCCACAGTAACAGCAACAAAAATATCAAAAAGACCAAAAAAAAAAAAAACTACCAAAAAAAGCAAAGAAAGAAATGAATTTAAAAACTGCCGAAAAAGTGAAAGTTAATTTTTCGGTGATGTTGCTAAGCCGACAGAGCAGCTGACGACGGCAATGTTGCTGCTGCTGTTGCTGCTGTTAATGCTGTTGTTGTTGTTGTTGTATCCTCAATGAAAGTAAAAACGCATTTTTTTCGGC